TATCCATGATTCTGTTAAGGTTAGGATTAGAGTCGGGTTAAGATATTTATCCATGATTCTGTTGAGGTTAGGATTAGGAACGGGTTAAGATACCTATCCATGATTCTGTTAAGGTTAGGATTAAAAACGGGTTAAGATACCTATCTATGATTCTGTTAAGGTTAGGATTAGGAACGGATTAGGACATACCTGTCCATGATTCCATGTTTTTCAGTGAAAGAGAGAAAATATGCGAGTGCGAAACGCGATTGGAAGACTTGTTTTAATATCCGAAGCTTTAAAATATAATAAGAATAGGTCAATAGGCAACATGACTATCGCGTATGTGAAGGACAGGAAATAATTTCAAAAGTGAAAGTAAACAAAACTGTTAAAATTTGCTGGCCGCTGCCCGCGGAAGAGATGAAATAAAATCTTAAATCTTTTAACCCGTCATTACACAGGCGATAAAACCCCCGGGAAAACGTTTATCCCAGTAAATCATTAAAAATAAGAAAAAAGAGGATTTTATAAAGCACAGCTGTTTGATTTCCGGGTTTTTCCTTTGGACGTTGGCTGTGGCTCTTGGCCAATATTTCTCCTAGGACAAACAATGTTGGAAAAAAACACCTCTGGCATCCCGATAAAGAACAAGAGAAAAGCAGCTCTCTCTCTAAAATAACAGGGAAGGACGGCCCGAGAAAATTTACGAGACCGGGAAAAGATTAGCGTTGAAAATTTTAAGCGACTTTACTCTTAGCGGGTTCTTTGGGGCGATTTATGTGCAGATATGCTCTAAACATGATGGCTACTCCAAAATCTATTGACCGCTACACTAACCGTAAATTTTACATCCCTTAAGTGCTAGCTTACCTTTTAATGAAATCATTCCTATGGCATGCAATTCTGGCCAATTGAAGCAATTACTTTTCAGCATAATTTTTGTATAATTATGTAAAATTTCCTTAATTGATCACTGCACAATTTTTTTTCTTCTGCCTGATCATTGAAATTTAAAAACATTGACCATGACAACTTATTCGATTTGACAGTTGACCACAAAACGATTAATAATTTTAACAAGAAAATATATGAAAGTATTCTAAAGTCTAGTATAGTAAGGCAAATTTAAGAGAAATTTATTTTAGAAATATTTGAAAAAATTTACTAGTATTGAAGATTTGTCAACTTTTTCAATATTTAACTTGGTTTAAAATATGGGAAAATAGAAAAGCAACACTTGCCGCGTTGTCATTTAAGTAATAATATAATTTGGAAAACTTTTACTTAATTTTCAACTCGACCTGGTTGAAGAATGAGCTTTTTTAGGTCAAGAGGAACTTAAAACTCATTTGTCGAGTGGTATCCCAAAATGGACGGTTTTTCATAAGTATACTTGTTAATTTTCAACGTTTTGTCACTATTTTTTACAAAACCTAAAAAAATTTGACGCTGACTGCAGCATCCGTGATTGGCCAGTTCATCAGAAAACGATTAGCAATTTTTATATAACAATGAATTATATATGAAAGTACTCTCAGGTCAAATCTTCAAAAAATTAAAAAGTATCGGAAATTTGGCCACTTTTTCAACGTTCAACTGGTTTAAAATATGGAAAAATAGAAAAGAAACACATCGCCTTGTCATTTAAATAAGATTGTAATTTGTAAAAGTTTTACTTAATTTTCAATTCGTCCTTGTTAAAGAATGAACTTCTTTAGGTCAAAAGGAACTTAAAACTTAAATAACTTACGTTTTAAAAAACTCATTTGTCGATTCCCGAAAAAGGATAGTTTTGATAAGTTTACTTGTTAATTTTCAACGTTTTACACAATTTATTACAAAAATTATAAAAATGTGTATGCCTTTGCCTCAAGGGATGAAAAAGTATTGGAGATTTAGCCACTTTCTCATCGGTCCCTGGTTTAAAATATGGAAAACTGGAAAAACAGCTTATTACCGTGTTATTTATCTAATAACGTAACTAATAAACGTTTTACACAATTAATTAAGGTTTTTAGTTGAAATTAAAAAGTCAGTGTCATGAGCGGGATTCGAACCCACGACCTTCGGCTAGATACGCCGCTGCTCTACCACTTGAGCTGTCGTGACCTCAATCCACTCGGACACTAACTTCCCATCTCAATTCCACTTCTTGAATTTTCCCGCTTTTCAGCTCCCGCTCAGGGTTTTTAGTTGAGATAAAAAAAGTCAGTGTCAAGAGGGGTTTATCTCAACTAAAAACCTTAATTAATTGAAAGATATTAATTGGTCAAGCGGACCACGAAAATTAGTGCATTTAATAATTCTTTATGTTCGTCTAGGCTAGGCTGAGTAAATCGTTTATACCACAAGAAATGACATGATTGTAAAAAGTCATGAAATTAGAAAATGAGAAAAAGAAATTGAAGAGATGAAAATAATAATAATTTTGAAATGTATGAGAACTTATTAAACAGTTAGTTGACTTTGGTTTTGGTTGAAATGAAGAAGTTAGTGTCACGAGCAGGATTCGAACCCACGACCTTAGGCTCAAGTGGTTAGAGCAGCAGCGTGTTGAGCCGAAGGTCGTGGGTTCGAATCCCGCTCCTGACATTGACTTTTTTATCTCAACTAAAAACCTTAATTAATTGAAAGATATTAATTGGTCAAGCGGACCAAGAAAACTAGTGAATTTCATCAGAATGTGAAAGAAGGTTGATAAATTTAACTAAATAACAAACAACAAATAAGAGCTTTAATAATCAATAATAATAAATCAATTTAAAAAATTAACAATCATGAGATAATCTTATTGTTTTAGCTTTAAAAAAATAAAACATATACAATACAGTCACAAAATCTACCATGCTCTTTCCAAAAAAAATACGTTTAACTATCTATAATTTGATTATAAAAATTTAAAACGATTTGAAAAAAAATATCAAGGATTTCTTGATTGTTGCAATTTTTAATGGCATAATCGGGAAGTTGTTATTGGATTGTTGATCCATTTGTGCCTTTTTTAGCTTCTTAATGGTCAACATTATATCCAAAAATAATTACCATTTATGTGCAAGTCTAGAAAAAATGTAATTTTATAATAAAACAAAAAATAATAAATAAAAGGAAGTCTGAATGGATGGAATGTAATGGCACATAGTGATTAAAGACACTTAAAAATTAATTAATATTAATCAGTATTTCTTAAAAATTCTATTTAATAAGAATTACAAATAATTAAGGTTTTTAGTTGAGATAAAAAAAGTCAGTGTCAAGAGCGGNAGGTGAGCTATCTTGAACTCGATCCACTCGGACACTAACTTCCCATCTCAACCCCACCTTTTGAATTTTCCCTCCTTTTTGCCATTTTTTTATCTCAACTAAAAACCTTAATTAATTGTAATATATTAATTGGTCAAGCGGACCACGAAATTAGTGAATTTAATGAATTTAAATTAAGTATTCTTCACTAAAGCTCTCCGTGGCCATTTCATTTGTCATTGGCCGAGAATCCAATTCGATTACACGACATTTGAAAAATGGCAAAAAGGATGGAAAATTCAAAAGGTGCGGTTGAGATGGGAAGTTGGTGTCCGAGTGGATCGAGGTCACGATAGCTCAAGTGGTAGAGCAGCGGCGTGTTGAGCCGATGGTCGTGGGTTCGAATCCCGGTCGTGACACTGACTTTTTTTATCTCAACTAAAAACCTTAATTAATTGAAAGATATTAATTGGTCAAACGGACCAAGAAACTAGTGAATTTCATCAGAATGTCAAAGAAGGTTGATAAATTTAACTAAATAACTAAATAAGAGCTTTAAGCTTGAAGAGTTTTAGGGTGTCTTAAAAACAGTTCTCAAAATTTGATTAGTAATTTGAAACTTTGGGTAGTAGTTAATTTTCAATTTTTTTAACACTATAGCATAAATTATGAAAATAGGCTTTTTGCTAATAAAAATTTTCAACATTTCATGGCTCTAAAATAAAACAAAAACTTGTGGAACAGGACAATATTATGGCAAAAATTATAAACATTTAGGACCTTATTGGGCACCAGTTTTCTGTATAAAAATGTTCAATATATTGATTTATTATTAAAACATTTACTTTTTTGTTCAAATATGAGATTTTCATTATTCACTTAGAAAAATCGATAAAAAGAGAATATTCACTCCCGGAAAACTTCACAAAAGCGAGGCCAAAAGCTGAAAAACAGAAAAACAAAACACGCCCTTATCTGCACTGACGGTTTCAAGTCGGCTCCTTGTAAAACGTCTATTTGAAGAAAACCGGCACTGCCCCATGATTTGCATGGTGGGGATCGTATGCTGACTCCATTTCGGCCCAGTTCCGCTTAGCCCTCCGGGCATGGAAGCCCCCGTCGCCATCAACGTTGTCAGCCCCGAGGGGAAGCTCTCGCAGAAGTGGCTGCCCGCAGAACCGGCCGGCATCGTATACATGGCGACTGTATATTACACAGAAAGAAAATTGGTATTCGAAAAAAAAAATATATAGATCTGAAATTTTCCTCTAACATACGACACATAAAATAACACCATTGCCATTAATATTATAATTAAAACGAGAAATTTTTTTTTCAAAATTCGTAACTTTTGAGATGCCAGCAAAATTTATCAACCTAGAAAAATTTTCACAAAAAAATTTTAACCACTTAAATTGTAGTTTATCCCATTGACAAACTTAATCAAACCTGTAGGTTGAGTTCCTACTACAAAAATAAGTCCCATCGACAGGCGTTATTCCAGGACAATGACCTGATCGGTCGATCCATTTACAGATGATATTTGCCAGATCTTTTAACTGATTTTGAAACTTGCCAGAAATAGGTTAAGATAAAGCTCATCTCAGTCAATAAAATCTTCTTTCCATGGGCTTTTTAGCTATTATGAAGATTAATTTTTAAGAAGAAAAAGTAAACAAATGTACCTTCCAAATTAATAACTGGACGTCGAATGACTTCTTGTTATCAATTTTCTTTTAGGGGATTTATTGATCTTTGAAAAAATTATTGTTAAACAGGAAGCCAGTGGTCATAAAGTAAACGTCGACGACGGTCTGCATAGCAAGCACATCGACTTAGAGAAGCTCTTCACCCCTGCTTCTGACTCGGGCGAACTCACCCCTTCAAGAAATCGTAAGTTTATTTTTTTTTTAATCAAGAAAAACTTTTGACCAATAATTTATTTCAAGGGAAAATGTTCGCGTCTTCGAGTTTTTACGGGCCAAACCACCCTACCATGGAGGAACAAGTCGAACTGGCACGCCGTATATCACACTCGCTGAGCGACATCAGCAACAAGGAGAGCAAAGGACAGTCGATGTACGTCAACAGGAAAAAACGATCCGTCAAATGGGTGCACGAAGGTAAAAACCATTTCGAGTAAAAAAAAAATTGCTTTAAAACCGAAAAACTTGCAGGGGAAGGTCGTTTACAAGAGAATATACCAGAAAATGAAACATTACGCACTCAGCCCAAAACGGTAAGTTTTCTACCGATTACACCTCAAAACCTACACGATTTAAATTTTTCAGGATAACAAATCACCTTTGAAACTGGTCATGAACCCGAGAGGACAAGTGCAGGACATCACGACATTACGAAAACAAGGAATGACTATCGAGCCCCCGATGAGCCCGGAAGTTTGTTTCGATCTAGTCAGAGATTTGAACGCACCGCGTGGCAAAGGTAATCTGAAAGCTAAATCAAATTCTGCTTGTTAAAACATTCACTGATTCTAAAATTAAAACTGCACATTAGGTGTTAGTATACCAAGACATCAATTTTAACGATAGAAAGTTGTAATTGTTTTTAATTGCAAAACAACTCGACCCAACCCGTCCAGACAAATAAAACTGAACACTAAAGTTAATTCACTATTTTTCGTGGTCCGCTTGACCAATTAATATCTTTCAATTAATTAAGGTTTTTAGTTGAGATAAAAAAGTCATTGTCACGAGCGGGATTCGAACTCACGAACTTTGGCTTGAAAAATGGCAAAAAGGAGGGAAAATTTTAAAAAAAGGTGGGGTTGAGATGGGAAGTTAGTGTCCGAGTGGATCGAAGTCACGATAGCTCAAGTGCTCTACCACTTGAGCTTTCGTGACTTCGATCCACTCGGACACTAACTTCCTATCTCAACCCCACCTTTTTATAATTTTCCCTCCTTTTTGCCATTTTTCAAATATTGACAGTTCAAGTGGTAGAGCAGCGGCGCATCTATCCGAAGGTCGTGGGTTCGAATCCCACTCGTGACCCTGACTTTTTTATCCCAACTAATACCTTAATTAACTTAATTAATGTTACACCTGAAGAACTTTGACCAGTGTTATGGTTCAGTTAAAGGGATACCTAATCAGATCTCTTTATCATTCAAATTTATGCCAGGGTAATCTAGAATTATAGAAAATTAAGAATTCAAAAAAACACTCGATTTCTGTTTCCTTCCAAAACCAAAACGAAATATCATAATATTTTTGACAATTCATAAAAAAAGGTAATAGTTAGTGTTTGATGGATCAAGTATTTTGTACATTGAACAAGTTTTATCTAAGCTTTGAGCTTAATATAAATCAAAATACCCTACCATGTTCTACTATAATAAAAAGAAATAAAAATGACCTCCTCCACAAGCAAAATAACAAGAATGGGACGAGATATCTCGCATCGCCCAGCTTATTCCCTGACATGCTTTGTACTATATAAAAAAGCAATATTACTCCCATACAGATTTAATTTATGTATAATGCTAAAATGTCATGGCTTTCACATGATTTGCTTTATTCGCAAGCAAAATAAGCTCAAATGGAACCAGTTCGTATCTCGCATCACCCATCTTATAACCCAGACTCGCTGTATAAATTTAAAAAATAACATTATTCCCATACTAATTTAATCTATCGATAAAGTTAAAATGCAAATAGTTTGCATTAGTCGCGCGCAAAATACGCACAAATGGAACGCGTCAGTGTTTCGCCACACCCTGCTTATTTCCCTGATGTTATACCCTGCTTATTTAACGATGTTGGGTTATGGGATGTACAGTCAATACAGAAAGCAAGCGTAGTGTTCAATTCTTTAATTTCGCCAATGTTTTGATTGATTTACATTCTTTTTCAAGGCCACGCCTGGAATATGATTTTTGACAGGCGTGGCCTTGAAAAAGAATGTAAATCAATCAAAACATTGGCGAAATTAAAGAATTGAGCACTACGCTTGCTTTCTGTATTGACTGCACATCCCACAACCCAGTATTGTTGAATATAATAATCATAAATAAAAGATATCCCTGATTAATTTTATAGAATTTTACAAGCAAAATACTTCGCCATACAGAATTGAGTTAATCGAAAACCCTAAAAGACGACTTTCACACGATTTATGTTAGTCACGGGCTTAATACGAAAAAATGGAACCAACCATTTTGTCGTGTCTCCCTTCTTATAACCCTGACTCAATATAAAGAGTTTCAAAAGCAAAATACATCAGTCTTACTAAATTGTTCTATAAATATTGCTAAAAAAAACGACATTTCACATGATTTGCATTAGGCGCAAGCTAAATGTGCAAAAATGTAACGAGATGTTGTTTCGCCACACCCTTCTTATATCCCTGACTCCTATTCAATTTTGAAAAGCAACCTATTTCAGTTAACTTACTTGACCTGTCGATAATGCTAAAAGACAACCACTTTCACATGATGTAGTTAGACACAAGCTAAATTCGTAAAAATAGAATGAATTAGTGCTTCGCTTCACCCTGCTTATTTCCCTGATTTACTTTATAGAATTTTACAAGCAAACTACTTCTGCCATACAGAGTAAATCGAAAACTCTAAAAGACAACTTTCACACCATTTGTGTTAGTCACGAGCTAAATACGAAAAATGGAATGCGAACATTTTATCCTCTCTACCTTCTTATAACCCTGACAAAATATATAAAGTTTCAAAAGCAAAATACATCTGTCATACTGATTTGTTCTATCAATATTGCTAAAAAAACAACGACATTTCACATCATTTGCATTGGAGACAAGCTAAATGTGCAAAAATGGAACGAGTTATTGTTTCGCCACACCCTTCTTATAACCCTAACTGATAGAGTTTCAAAACCAAAATAAATCTGTCATACTGAATTGTTCTAACAATATTGCTAAAATACAATTTCACATGATTTGCATTAGAGACAAGCTAAATGTGCAAAAATGGAACGAGATATTGTTTCGCCACACCCTTCTTATATCCCTGACTTCTATTAAATTTTAAAAGCAACGTACTACCTGTCGGTAATGCTAAAAGACAGCCACTTTCACATGATTTAGTTAGATACAAGCTAAATAAGCAAAATGGAATGAATTAGTGTCTCGCTTCGCCCTGCTTATATCCCTGACTCCAATATATTGAATTTAAAGGCAGCGAACTTCGGTTCTGCTGATTTGATCTATCAATAATGCTAAAAGTCAACTACTTTCATATGATTTGCGTTGAATACAACCAAAATACTCAAAAATCGGACGAGTCTGCGTCTTCTCTCACCCTGCTTATAACCCTGACTAACTAGATAAAGTTTTAAAAGCAAAACACTACCTTTTTTATATTTAATCTATGGATAATGCAACATAACAACCGATTTTCACACGGTTCTTGTTTCATACAAGCAAAAGATGCAAAACTGAACGAGTCACCCTACTTATATCCCTGACGCGCTATAGCAAGTTTCAAGAGCAAAATACTCTTTTTCTTATTAATTTAATCTATTAACAATCGGCCTGGTTTAAGGAGATAATAGGCAGAAAAAAGGCAAAAATGGAACGAGTGAACGTCTTGCCTCACCCTGCTTATACCCTGACGCGCTAAATCCAGTTTCGAAGAAATACTCTTTTGTTTATTACCTTGATATATTAATAATAATAAAAAATAAAAAATACTAGTGGTTTAAATCAATTCTAAATTAAATATAAATTGTAACTGCCCTTATTTCTAATTTTTGATCAATTAAATCAATATACATATACTTGTGTGCTATTTTCGTCTATAAATATTTACCAAGGTGGAAACAGTACATGTAGATATATATTAAATTTTTGTTTGTATAAAATAACAAAAAAAATTTCATGAAAGTAATGATGCGTGAAAAATAAAAAATAGAAAAGTCTATACCTATCGGCAAAACATACCGCCCACCATTGGAATTTGTAACTTTGCAAATATACAGGTAACATTTTTCGCAGCAACGTTTCAAAAACAATGTAAAACAAAAACATTTTGTGTTCAGGATTTATGAGCATTGTCAACTGGAACAACCAAATGTTTTTGTATGAAAAATCAAACTTTTAAAAAATAAATGTACTGATGCCAAAACGGGAAAAGTATGATTGTTAAAAAGATGTATTTATAAGTTAAATTTGAAAATTAAGAAATAGTAGTACATTAAGAGTAATTTTTTAAAATTTAGGTCATAAATATATTTTTGAAAGTTCATCAGGCATAAGATCATAAGCTTTTTTTAAGATCTGAGAGTTGATTTGAAATCATAACGATTTATTTTTTTTTTCAGATTTAATTAATTTAAATTAGCTTCAGTTGTTGTTACCTTTTATTTTCTAATTTAACGCTTCGGCGCGGAACTTTTCTGGCTAAAGACAACTCAATTGTACCCAGGGTACAAATCGATTCGATTATCCGATTATTTTTAACTTCGTCGGGCACAAAGTCAGAACAGATGCTATCCGAAGTTAAACGGCCTAGTTCACTCGGATCAATGAACTTGAAAGGGGGGAAAACAATAAATTAACAGTTTTGAAACTTTATCGGATCGATTGATCAACTTGGATGTGTTTTGGTGACTTCTAACATAAACCAACATGAAAACAGGCAAAAAAGCCCAAAAAATCTTTATAACTTAATGATTTATTTATAAAAGAAATAGTTGACGAATCTGTACCAAACAGTTCACAAAATCTTATTTTTGTGTTCATCTAATCGAAACTCAGATAATTTTAAATCATAATCGATATAAATAAAAAAAAAGGCACATAAAACATCTTTGCTAACCTTAAATGGAAAAATGTCTGCCAATGATTATTGGTACATAAAATTTGCTATAAACCTATAAAATTGAATGAAGAATTGTTAAATAATTTTAATCTTAGCATAATAATACAAAATTAGAGTAGTTTTTATTAAATTTAGTTTTAATTAGTGAACTGCCACTTAAAAAGAAATCATTTTATCTTGGCCGCAAGTCCTAAGCCGTCTGGCAATGTCACTCAGTTCTTAACAGTCCAATCGATCTATTTTGAATTTTCTTTGCCAGTGACAACAAAATTTAATGAAGCAGCCGAGTTTCTATTCTATTTAGATATTTCTAAATTAATATGGTTTTTACAAAATATCAGTAATTTTTCAACTCGGATGAGTACAATTTCAGGATACAGAATTATGTTGTTGTTGTTTTTTTTAAAGTCCTTAATCAAGAAACACTATTAATAATAAAAATAAACAATAGACAGTAAATAAAACGTTAATAAAACGCATCAGTTTCTCACCTTTAGGCTGGAAATGTCATTAGTATATCCGAACAGTTAAAAATCACAATGGTGGGCGGTATGTTTGTCGAGAGTTATGGGGTTTGCTTTTTATTTGTACATCAAATGAAAATGTTCGTATTATTCACACTGTCAGCAATCAGTAGGGTGTAGGTTATACCACAAAATTTGTTACGTATTACACGACTGTACGATGTAAATTTTACAATCCATCTTTTTGATTTATCTTTGCCGGTGGCAACATAATTTAGTGAAGCAGCTGAATTTCTATTTTGTTTAGATATTTCTAAATTAATATGGTTTTTATAAATATCAGTAATTTTTTCATCTCGGACGAGTAGAATTTCAGAATACAAAATTGTATCTTGTGTTTTTTTAATAAAGTCCTTGATCACGACAACACTATTAATACCAAAAAAAAAATAATGGACAGTAGATAAAAATTTAGGTTTACTCATCAGCTGTTTACCTTCAGGCTGGAAATGCCATCAGTATATCCGAACAAGTTAAAAATCACCATGGTGGGTGGTATGTTTGTCGAGAGTTATGGGGTTTGCTTTTTATTTGTACATCAAATGAAAATTTTCGTATTATTCACACTGGAAACAATCAGTTGGGTGTAGTTTATACCAGAAAAATTTTTACATGTTGCATGATTGTACCATCTAAATGGAAGAATCGATCTATTGTGAATTATCTTTGCCAGTGATAACATAATTTAATGAAGCAGCCGAGTTTCTATTCTGTTTAGATATTTCTAAATTAATATGATTTTTATACATAAAAGTAATTTTTTCCATCCCGGACGAGTATAATTTCCTGATACAGAATTGTGCCTTGTTTTTTTTTAAATAAGTCCTTGATCACGACAACGCTATTAATATCAAAAATAAATAATAGACAGTAGATAAAACGTTAAGTTTACACATCAGTTGTTCACCTTCAGGCTGGAAATATCACCGGTACATCCGAAAAGTTACAAATCACAATTGGTGGGCGGTATGTTTGTCCAGAGTTATGGTGGTTTGCTTTTTATTTGCACATGAAATGAAAATTTTCGTATTATTCACACTGAAAGCACTCAGTAGAGTGTAGTTTTTACCACAAAAATTGTAATGAATATCATAAAGAAACTACCCATGTAATTACCATAGGAAGAAGAATTTTGAGAAAAAATTTTTCAATATTAATTTTTTCATAGTATAAAATTTAAAAAAAAATCACTTTTTAAAGACTACTAGAATTTTTTTGTTTAAACATCAAAACAATAGTCTAAGTCAGGGTTATAAACAGGGTGAGAAAAGACTATTGTAATTTTATACTTTTTTTCTTGTTTGTCTCAAATTATATAGAATTCTTGACCTTTTTGCATTATTATTAGATAAAAATCAATGAATATGAGAGTGTTTTGAATTTTAAATTTTATATGATGTAGTTAGGGGTTTGTAAGCAGGGCGAGGCGAGTCAATGATTCATTCAATTTGTTCGTATCTCGACTGTGTACATCGCTAATCAAGTGAAATTTTGTTGTCTTTTTCATTAATAATATTTCAAATCAGTATTTGCTTTAAATATTGAATATTGCCAGTTAGAGTTATAAGAAGGTTGAGGCAAGACGGCAATTATTTCTATATTTGAATATTTTACTGTAGTTATCTTAAACCTTGCGCTTTTCTAGGTCTTTCTACGTTATTAATATCAATTTTTAAAAAAATGGCGTTGCTTTTAAACCTGTAAAATAAATCAGGGATATAAGCAGGGCGTGGCAAGACAGCAATTAGTTCTATTTACGTGGATTTTTCTTATACAAATCATGTGAAATATCATTGTATTTTAGCAATATTTATAGTACAAATAGTATGACAGATGTATTTTGCTTTTCAAATTCTACAAAGCTAGTCAGGGTTATAAGAAGGGAGAGACGATAGGTTACATTTTTGAATATTTAGATTGTGTCTATCTCAAATTGTATTAAAACTTTAGTCCTTTTGCATTATGTAAAATCATTATAAATGAGAGTGTTTTCCTTTAAAAAAAAAATATATTTAGAGAGGGTTATAAGCAGGATGAGATAAAAAGGCAAATAGTTTCTATGTTTGAATATTTTGCTTGTAGCAAACACTTTGTGGATGTCGTTGCGCCATGTTTACATTTTTAATAGATTCAATTGTTAAAAATAAGAATATTTTGCTTTTGAAATTTTATGTAGAGTCAGGGGTTTAAGCAGTTGGGGCTAGAAACTAACTGTTCATTTGTTTTTTTAAATATATCCCAGCATTCAATTTTATTTTATTTTTGTTGGTCAGAAGTTATAATGTTGCATAAATTGTATCTACCAGGTGCTGAGCTGTTTGCGAAACGACGTAAGAAATCTGAAAAATGGATAGTAGACGAAAGCAATGTGAAAACTGTTGAGTCTTACCAACCACCTGTCCCGAACCTAAGCAAAGTCCCTCCACCATCTTATTTGAAAGAGACGACCCAAAGAGTTGAAAACGTACAGAAAATGAATCAAATCCAGGTAAAATTTTTGAAAAAAAAAATTTCTTTTTGAGCAAGGATTTGTCAACTCGTGACTTTTCAGGAAAGGTTCTCAATGCCGAGGTTGAAATTGATCAAATCCCCTTGGGAAGCGGCCCTGGAGGGCAGTGTGGAATCCGCGTTCCAGGAGATCAATGCCCCCAGAGGTTTCGTCACACAGTCAGCGGCCACCTTCGCAAAATTGCCCACGCCTACTCTGCCACCTTCGACACCGATCAAAGAAGAACTTTACAAGCCGAAGCCACCCAGGGCCTGGAACCATCAGCCGACCTGCAAGACATTCAGTAAGGAACCAAACCGCTACTAATCATAACCACCGCTTCAGATCATGCATGAAAGAAAAACGGGGTAGTTCAGATTTGCCTACACAGCTTATTATGTGTAATACACATGTAACAAGCAACAGGCCAGATTATAAAAAGCACATTTCCATTTTCCCAAAAATTATGTTGTATGTAACAATAAAAAGGTGGAGGAAGCTGCATCTGATTTAACAGATCGCTTTAATACTGAGAATTTGGTGAGTTGAAGGTGTATATAACCTATAACAAAAGCAAACAATTTACTATTAAATTAAATACAAATAAAGATCATTTAAAACACAGTATAAATAAAAAAGGAATAGGACTGACAATCACGACTGATCAGAACAAAAAAAAAATCAAAGATGAATACAGGCAAAGAAAACACCAATACACTCCGCCCACATCACAACAAACAAGAAAGGAACCAACTAAACAAAAACCCACTACAGAAAATGGCGAGAAATTGGTTGCATCTACAGATCAAATATGGCAAGTATAGCACACCGATGACATCAAAAATAAGTTTTTTAATTGTGTGTCTTTACATTTCATAATTTCCGCACTTTCCAATCAACATTCAGAAGTTTTTTCACTGTCATTTTTCGTCAAGTTTTGCCTTTTTTGTCTTTTTTTTTAAGGGAACTTATCGAATCTGGTGGACCAAAGCTCAACAAAAAGTAGCTACTTAAACATTAGGCAGCATAAAAATACTAGCCTTTGTATCTCAGGGGCAATGAGAACAACCCTTACAAGTGCACTAGAAACTCTGATAAACCTACCTCCACTAGAAATATTTATGCAAGGAGAGCCTAGGAAAAGCTCATTTATGCTACAAAAACAATTAGATTGGATATAACCTGAACAATTCGAGCATACAACTGTAATTAACAAAATCAGACCCCAATTCTTAGAAAAGGGGACTGACTTGATCCCGGAAACATTCTTTACAACCTATAAAATCTCAACAGACTATAAAGGAGAGGAAAAACACAGGAGAGCATCAGATGCAATGATATGGTATACAGACGGCTCCAAAACAAATGAAGGAACGGATGGGGTGTTTACTATACAAGCCTAAAACATGAGCAATCAAACTCATAAGGGAAGTACCCTTCGGTCTTTCAAGCAGAAATAGATGCCATCAATGCTTGTGCCCTGGAAAATCTTAAAAGAGTTTATACTGACAAAAAAATCCTCATAAGATCTGATAGCCAAGCAGCCTTTAAAGCATTAGCATGTAAAAAAATCACATCAAGTGATTCAGTGAATGCATCCAAAATCTGGGAAACACAACAGCCTGATAGCATCTTGGGTGCCAGGGCACAGGAGAATTTTGTGTAACGAGAAAGCAGACAGACTGGCCAGAGGAAGATTTGCAAGATCATACATAGGCCTCGAACCTATACATGGGATAACAAAACCAAATATAGAATCTTCCATCGCAGAATGGATCCAAACAAAACAAAAGGAGAAGTGGATAAACTCCAGCGGTGCTAGACACTGTAAACTTATGATGAAACAACCCTCACCAAGACTGGCAAAATCACTGCTGCAACTGGAGAGGGCTAAACTCTGAGAAAACACCTACACATGGGCATATACAACGAAGATCCCATCTGCAGATTATGTAATGAGGTGGAGGAAACAGCCACCCATATCATCTTCAAATGCGAAGCAACAGCTAAATAGAGATTTAACCTAACATACGGACAAAAACTTACGGAATGAAATTGTAGCAGTGACAGTCAATGACCTGATACATCTAAGGAGAAGGATTGATCTATTGGCACTGAACTAAGGAAACAGGAAGGTGCAATAAGCCAGAAGGCTGCAGTGCCTGGGGAGCACAAAACCCGCTTCCTAGTATCCACCTATAGTGGATAATGTCATCCTACAATATCTCATCCTGAAGTCTTTCCCATCAGTTCAAGGTGAGAAATAGCACTGAATTTTCAGACAAACCCATCAAGGCTGGTGTTCCCTAGGGAGTATCGTAAGACATACTATACATCCTAACACCCAAATGACAACCTTCTCGGAAGAAGCTGCAATCCTCTCCTCATATTCTGACTATATCCTTGTAGCAGAAGCAATCCAAGACCACCTAGATCTCATTACCGACTGGTGCATTAAGCTAAAATAATAAAGCCGTCACATGACCTTAGAAGACGAACCTGCCCACCTGTGCACATAAACACAGTAACACAGTAAGGTTCATCCAACCAAATCGCTACTACGTGGACTTATGGAGTTGACCTGTGGAGTTCAGCCAAGCCATCCTTTCAATTAAGTCCTTCATCGCATCCTCAACGGTCCCTTCTACGTCACTAACCAAATCATTGACAAAGACCTAGATATTCCATTCATGTTGGACCTCATCCGAACATGATTTCACATTGCCATTCCAACCTCTCCTTCCACAACAATCCACTAGATCAACCCTCTCTTCAACATCCCACCTAACAACCACTACACCTCGTATCCTTCTAACACAATCCTACATGCTAAGAGTAGTTGCTTCTATGTTAGCAAGTTTATCTCCCAAATTGCCTGCAATTCCCTCATAACCTGGAGCCCGCTGTTAAAATATTTGAAGATCCCAGTTTTCTTGGGTACTAAGGCACATCCAAATACGTTTTGCGGTAATCTTGTCATATGTTTAATTTTTTCAATGATAATCTTCACTTCTCTTTATACTGTTGATTTAATCTGTCCACCATTAGGGCAATATCTTCTCTATCGACCATTTGATCTGAGGGAAAACTGGTGAGAGCCAAATGGCATATTTTTCTACATCACCTGAACCAATACATTGGTAACTCCAGCAGTAAATATTTTAATATGGGAGTCATCTTTGTTTATATCCTTTCCTAACCTCAAAAAGTTTAATATTTGTCCTAATATAGAAGCCTTTGTGATGCTTCAACCTCAAATCAAGTTATCACCATTTCAGCATACTTTAAAGTTTGCCTATTTTGCATCTTGAGATATTACCATACTTTTTTCCAGGTGTGAAAGACTAAATGCTGATCTAGATAAACGGCCTTGTACTAATCCACACTTGTTTTTCAAAGGTTGTTGGCTTCCAGTTGCAAGACACTTCTGAAAATCCAAGAAAAATAGTTTTATAAATGTCTCTAGTTTTTTAACTTGCTACCTTTTATGTAGATAATATATAACCCATATGGAGATTGTCTACCTCCAGATCCCGGTGATTTCCCATTTTATTAAGAACCTAAAACCTAATTTTACATCCTTTTCTGTTATTTCCAGTGTCTCTTCTTTGGTACAACAGTCATCTTCTGCTTCCTCAAATATTTCCCTAACTTTTACAAATAAATTCTTGAAATACCTAACCTGTCCTTCTTTAACCTGTCTGCTTGTTGCACACATTTTTGCAAAACTTATAAAGCTAACTAGCTTTATTTTTACTACCTTGTATACAATGCAGCTTGTATGTATTTTCAATAATTGCCAGTATTAATTCTGTTGGTAAATGGAAATGTGCTAAGCCAATTAAAATAACCTAATTTGCTTTATCCAGTACATACATTGGCATTAATAAACTAATATTTCGAATTGCTGACCAGGTCCCGTGAAGATGGATAATATCCTTGCTGATTCTTCGAAATCTTCCTTGAGCATTGCCCATCTCTCAGACACTAACACAGTTAATACCGAACTAGTTGTCAAAAACGTACCACAAACTGGGGCCCAACTGCCCTCCCACGAACTCCTGGATAAATCCATCATCCAGGAAAAAGTAAGAACAGAGGATTCTATAGTCAACGAGGTCAATACTATGAAGATTGGAGAAGACACGAAATGCGACTCTGTCTCACGGTCAGAGTGTACAAGTCAAACTGAAAGTGTCAAGAGAAAAGAAGTCCAGGTGGAAGAGTTCAGGCAAGAAAAAACAGAAAAGACATTTCAAGAGATGTCTCAAAATTCCTCGGAGATTTGGCAAAGCCAGACCACCTCAGATGTCCATTTCGAGTCGGTCAGCTCGGAAAAGAAAGATTTTTCCTGTTCCAAAACTGAAAGCAAATCTTCAAAAAAGGAATTTTCAGTTGATAAAGAAGTCGAGGACCTGTGCGAAAGAGAGTTTAACAACTTCAGTTTGGAGTATGAAAACAAGCACGAGGTACAAAAACCAACGGCTTTGCTACCAGGAGTTCTGTTCCATCCCTCTGGATTAACTCTAAATCAAAAAGAAGTTCAGAAAGAAAAAAAAGAAATCAAATCTGAAGAGAAAAAAATTTACAAAAAGCCAGCTTCCATGGTGCCCGGTGCGATGCCTTTATTTGGTGGGGCCTTAGATTTACACTTTGCAAACGATAACAACAAGGACAAGCCGTATGAAAAAATACCCATCAAAAGTTTAATAGATTCTTTTGAGCTGAGTACAAGGCCTGTTCTTAAATACAAGCAAGTCAATGAAAACGTTTCAATTTCACCAAGCAAAATGATCGACATCAAGCAGAAAACTGTAGAAAAATTACACAAGGAAGAGAGCTCGTCCTACAAAGTCTTTGAGGAGGTCAAAATAAAAGAAATGAATGAAGAGATGCAAAAGATCGAAAACTTCTATCAGAACAGCCAACATAACCAAGAAATAACAACCCTTCATAAGTCGAACGGTGAAATTTTAATTCAACCCACAGATACATCTCCACAGATACAACATACCTCAAAAAATGAAACGAATGCTCAAACCTGTGGACAATCGGGAGGATTCGCTCCGCTAGCATCGAGGAGTGAGTTGTGCGAGATGACATGCATTTTGAAAACATTGCCTGCATATATAATTTGTATCAAATTTATGTTGAAAGCACTCAAATTGCATCTTGAAACATGGAAGAAAATAACTAGACGATTTTTTTTGTTTCGAAAAGTTTTAACAGGAATATTTTATGGATATGAAAATTATCTCATGAAAAATCATCAACATGTCTTTTTGTGCAATATAATATTTTTTGCCTATTGTACAGTACTAACCATGTTTCAAATATTTTTAATTTCATGTATTACCACTATCATGTGACTTATTTAATGTTTGGATTTTTATTTCAAAAGAACTGCATTGAAATTTGAACATTAACAGAAATTAAATTCACTAATTTTGTGGTCTGCTTGACCGATTAATATATTACTATTAATTAAGGTTTTTAGTTGAGATAAAAAAGTCAATGGCACGAGCAGGATTCGAACCCACGATCTTCAGCTAGATACCCCGCTGCTCTACCACTTGAGCTATCATGACCTCAATCCACTCGGACACTAACTTCCCATCTCAATGGCAAAAAGGAGGGAAAATTCAAAAGGTCGGGTTGAGATGGGATATTAGTGTCTGAGTGGATCGAGGTCACGATAGCTCAAGTGGTAGAGCAAGGGCGTATATAGCCAAAGATTGTGCGTTCGAATCCTGCTCGTGCCATTGACTTTTTTATCTCAACTAAAAACCTTAATTAATTGTAATTAACAGAAATCATTTTCATCTGTAAATAATTAATTTTTGTTTTTTATATTTATACAGCCATGAAACCATGGCTGAAGCCATGATGGTTGAACGATCCCTTTTGTTAAAGTTTGAATTTAAAAATTGATTTAAAAAAAAAAAGAAGTTTAAATAGGGTGTTATAATGTAATTAAAACAAACCTGTTATCATTGAGTTATTATAATTTTGCCAGTTTTCTTTTTTCTTTGATTTGATTAAATGTTTAGCATCGGTAGTAAGAAAAAGGGCCTAGATCTGTTCCTCATCCTGAATATGTTTGACTAAAATGTCCACTATTTAATTTTTGAGGATACTTGAGTGGCCATAAAAGCAATTCAACAATCCAAGGTGATAAATCAATTGAACCTGTTCGGTTAAAATTGATTAAGCTATCTAAGGCACTTTTCAAATCTGAAAATATAAATTTTTGGGTTAAAGATTACTTTCAACAAATGAATTTCAAGGCTTTTATGTTGAATATCTGAGGATGAGGTGTCACTAGTATCGGAAAGTTTCAAGTTAGTACATCTGCTTTTTCCTTAGATATTAGCTCTCTAGGTTAAAATATTGTACAATTTATTGTACCTGAGCCTTCTGGTCCTTTCTGATTTTGTGGATCCGTGATGAAGAGGATTTCCATTTTTTCCTGTTTGACGAAGGCGCAACAGAACTGGGCGAAGTTTTCCAGTCCTGCCTATTCTTTTAATTATGTCTGTCATTTAACAATATCTCAGGACCATCTTCCCATAAAGTATTATCAAAATTGAATTTTCCACATAAGATTTTCTCCGTTCACTCTTTGACATTGAAAATTATAACCTTTTTCCTCCTGAAGATGGCACCTTCATCTCTAAACCTTTTCTGCCTTCTGTTCTAAATCAGATTCTCTAATTTCTAAATTTTCTAATTCAGTCCCAAATGTCTTAATGGTTTCTTTCGTGTCTGTTGAAGTTTTTTCACAAGAAATTATCAAAATTGAATTTTCCACGTAAAATTTTCTCTGTTCACTCTTTGATATTGAAAATTATAACCTTTTTCCTTCTGAAAATGGCACCTTCTTCTCTAAAAATTTTCTGCCTTCTTTTGAGAGACTCTACTTTCTAAATTTTATAATTCAGTTCCAAATGTTTTAATTGTTTCTTTCGTGTCTGTTGAAGTTTTTTCACAAGAAATTATCAAAATTGAATTTTCCACATAAGATTTTCTCCGTTCACTCTTTGATATTGAAAACTATAACTTTTTTCTCCGGAAGATGGCACCTTCTTCTCTAAAATTTTCTGACTTCTTTTGAGAGACTCTACTTTCTAAATTTGTAATTCAGTTCCAAAAGTTTTAATGGTTTCTTTCATGTCTGTTGAAGTTTTTTCACAAGGAATTATCAAAATTGAATTTTCCACATAAGACTTTCTCCATTCACTCTTTGATAATGAAAATTATAACCTTTTTCCTCCTGAAGATGGCACCTTATTCTCTAAAAATTTTCTGCCTTCTTTTGAGAGACTCTAATTTCTAAATTTTTGAATTCAGTTCCAAATGTTTTAATGGTTTCTTTCACGGATATTTGTCATTTGGCAAAAATGCACTACACAGGCATCTAGGATTTTTTAGAAATCAGGTTTTTTAAGTTAAATTTGACGAAATTGAACAAAATCCACGCACACAAAGTCCAAGTAAATATATCGAACATCTCAAAAAATAATAATTTTCTAATATTAAGAGATGTTCACAGCTTGAAAACATAAGTGAAACTTTGACTTTTATGATAGTAATTCCGCCAAATATGCTCTAAATTTGTTGGGTATTTTGTATTTCCCATATTTATCAATGTGCAAGTACATATTAAGCACAGCCAGTCCCATCATCCCATTTTGAGCCATCTGTAAAAAAAATAATGGCTTAAAAACACAATTAAATGTCTTTCGGAAAAATTGATTTGGCTTCATATCGATAAAGTCCTGATAAGAAAAAACCCATAGATTTCTTGGTATGAAAAAATTTTTAATCAAAACCAAAATTTGGTCGAATTTTCTCATTAAATGTGGTGTCCAAATGGTTCAACTATGTTAAAACATCCTTGTCAAAAAATTTTATTAAATTTGAACAAATCACTTTTCGTAGAAAATGTCTTATCTGATCATTCCTGTTCCTGTCTGTCAGACATTGACGATAGCGAGAAGCTGAAATGCTGAAAGATCAAAACAGCTAAGATAGGCAGGCCAAAATGATCAAAAACAAACTACAAATAAATTAAATTATTAATCAATTGAATCTTTTTAACATCATATTAAGATTAAGGCTGGATGTTTTATTCTATTAAATAGACAGCATTTTAGAATTAATAATACAAGTTTGTTACCCACAAACAAAATAAAAACTAGCGCCAATTGGGTAGTGCAAAAAAAAATTTATAATATTATTTCCCATAAAAAAAATTAAAAAGACTGCCATTTTTATTAATAATTTTTAGTTTTATTGTTGTCATAAAGTAGTTTTTAATTAACTTATATAATTTTTAAGCTCATATTTTAAATGATTTCTTCTTTGTTACTTAACCATTGATTAGATTTTGAACATTTTAAGTTCAGTTGTTTCATATAATGACCATTAATCATTATTAATGACTATGTTTATCTATATTAAATTTATAAACTTTATTGAAAAAAAGTTAATTAGTACTGTTAAAATGTTAAATATAAATTTTTCATTTTTTCGCGATCAAATGCCCACTAATTACAAAAAAGTTAAAATTCTTCCTTGTTATATTAATCTAGGGTTTTCTTTAATTAAAACATTACAAATCTGTAATTATTGAGTTTTATTGTTTCACTGTAAGTTTACTGTTTAAAGATTTTAACAGTTAATGTACCGTTTTAGTTCTAAACGCGTCTAACAAGCCCCTGTTATTCAAGATCTGTAATTTAACTTTTTTTTTTTTTTTCAGCCGAAGATATGCCGGTCAAACGTCCCGATCCTGTTTATGAGCCGCAGTTATCCAAGGTAGACTTCATGAAGCATAACAATTTCAATACGGCTCCAAGAGGATGGCAGAGCAGCATGTCCTACTACCGACCGGTGACGTTCAACACCCCAGCCTATACAAATTTCTGATGATTTCATTTAAATAAACAAAAATCATGTCTATGTTTTCATTTAATTATTATGTTGACAAAATTCAATTAAAAAAAAAAAGAACCGACTTTTAGACTGTTTATGAACAATAAAAAAAAATGTACGCAGTCGTCTTACATTTTTCTGTTTTACGACTGCAATAGCAGCTAAGTTCTCAAGATCTTTTTCTTTTTTTCCCCTCAAAATGTAAATATACGCACATAAAAGAACTGTAAATATTTGGACCAACTGTAAAACTTAATCCGAGATATGGTCGACAAAATTGAATCTATCTTTGTGTAGAATTTATACTTCAAAGAGCTTAAATGTTGTTAAAAAATATATTGTTTTTCTTTAAACCCAATTATCGTTTATTATTTTCAAATCTTTCATACCAAATAAAAAAAATCCTTAATCACAAAATTAAATTAGAATCTAAACTATTCCAATTTTCTTTGCAAAAGCAAAAGTTTAACAATTTAAACTTTTTTGTCTTTATTGGAGGGTAGTTATGTAATATTTTCAATCCTTTATTCTATAAATACTGACTTTTTTATCTCAACTAAAAACCTTAATTAATTGGAAGTTCATCAGACTGCATAAAAAAATTAATTGGTATTTAAACATACTCATCCAACAAGTGCTGACTTCACTCCTTGATAAAAAATTTTTTTGCACCTAAAATTCAACTTTTTGATGGATGAACCGTGAAAAAAAGTAAAAGTTTGCATAGTCTCTCAAGACATCACAGTACAAAAATGAAGTTGTTTTAGTTTTCCCAGATATTGCATCGTTTCATTAAAACAGCCTATTTTAACAAATAATTTTATGCGTTTAATAATCATAGAAAAACGGAAAAAAGTAGAAACTGAAATTTGGCCTTGACAGTTGATTCGCATGTGTGTCAGTTCTGGGGAATGCGTACAGCCAGCCGCCCGGCCACCACCGCCGAAAAAGGAGGGACCCAGGGGCTCCTCCGTCTTTGGTTTTTCTTTTAATATGATTGACCTTACGTAGCTCCCTTTGGAGGGCATGGATAAAAACCATTTACATTGAGACCTATATGGAAAAGTCCAAGCTCTCAGGAGGTCCGAGGCTTTTGCCCTCAGGTCCCTCCGTGTCCCTCCCAACCAGCAAAAGGGCACCAGCCCACTGGCCCGCACCCCCCAGAGTTGGTTCAATTTTGTTGCTTACGTTATTTGTGTGTTAAGTGTAGTGTTCTTGTTATATATAGTTGTATAGTTTTATTTTTTTTAAATACCCGATGACTTTGTCAACCATTTGCTGCTTATCCTGTAGGAGTTGTTTAAGTGGGAGGTGTAAGGAAGATGTGTAAAACCGTTGGCAGTTCCTTTGGGGGCACAAGACGCGTTCGATGGTTAGGCATTCACCACACAGACAGACAGGAGGGTCAGTACCCTCCATCAAGAACCCGTGTGTCGTTCTTGTATGTCCAATCCTGAGTCGGCAGATGATAACCTCTTCCCTCCTATTCGTTTGATAGGAAGTTTCCCAGGGGTGAATGCTGTCTTTTATATTTTTTAGTTTGTCTCCAATGTTCATCCATTCAGATTCCAATTTTTTTATATCTCTCTTCTGAAGGCTGAAACGAGATCCTTTGCACACACGGGCTGCTCAGATTCAGGAAAGCGCAGGGCTGTTTTAGCGGCAATGTCTGCCCGTTCGTTGTTTTTTATTCAAATGTGACTTGGAATCCATACGAAGGAAATGTAAATTCCCCTTATGTATAGTAGAGAAATCTAAGTTTTTTTTTGTTTTTTTTTTTGACTGGGGCTTCCGACATCTAGGTCATTTCATATTCCTCCACCGACCTATACTCAACTAATCTAGATTGGGGTCGATGGAGTACTTTTATGAATAACAATTAATTAAGGGTGATGATGAAAAAAAATTAATGGCATGAGAGGGATTCGAACCCACGACCTTCGGCTAGATACGCCGCTGCTCTACCACCTGAGCTATCGTGACCTCGATCCACTCGGACATCAACTCCCCATCTCAACCCCACCTTGAGTTGATGTCCGAGTGGATCGAGGTCACGATAGCTCAGGTGGTAGAGCAGCGGCGTATTTAGCCGAAGGTCGTGGGTTCGAATCCCTCTCGTACCATTAACTTTTTTTCATCTCAACTAAAAACCTTAATTATTAATTGTCATGTATTAATTGGTCAAGCGGACCACGAAAGTAGTGAATTAACTTTTACAAATATTCCGCCATTGACCCCGAACACATACTCATACACTCTCAACGTTCGATCCCCCAAAAAGAGGAACAGGGGACCCAGAAACCCGCTGCAGTGTTGAGTACCATCTTCAGATTGGATGGCATGACTACACGCTCCCTGTAGGGAGCCAAGGCATGACATGTTTCCAGTATGTGGGACACATCAAGAAACCTTTCTCTGCATAAGGGGCACCTGCGCGGGCTTCGGCCCAAGAACAGGTGCCTGTGTGTCAACCGTGTATGGCCTATTCTTAATCGCGTAAGGACAATTCCTTGTTTCTGGCTCAAGTATTCGGGGGGCCATCTACGAATCATGCTCTTGACGCGCAAATCCTCTTGGACGACCCGGCCTTTTTCTTTTATCATGTTCTTTTCTGCTTGGCGTCAGAGGGCCTGGTCACGATGGTCCGGTCTGGAGGGTGGGATGTCCCAGATTTTGCTGCATTACTCTTCAGCCTGACGTGACTGGGGATCCAGACAGAACCACCGTTTTTCCAAGGTGCTTCAATTAGGTGAAAGGCATTATTACCATAATACTTGCATTAAAGTTTGGCATAAAACAGCATGAGCATCGTGTCAATGCTTAAATTGTTGCAGCCCCCAATGCCTCTCTCAAAAAAAAACATTAAATACATTAATCATTATTATTATTTTAATGTTACATTTCCTTTGATATATAATAATGTTCCAATAGTTTTATAGAAATAGGGAAAAATAAGAAATGAATGACAAAGACTTGGATTCTATAGTTTATTAGCATTGCCGCCTCTTTATTGAGCACTATAATAAAAATTTGGTGTAAGATGCTTGTAATCATTTAATCAAATTTGCAAAGCAAAAATAGAGAGTAGAATCAAAATACAAAATTGAACACTGCAGTTGAGTCATCTCTTTAATTTTGACTCGATACTTTGGGAAATTATTGGCAAAGCAAGGTGGTGTTGCTCCGTCAGGGTAAATTTCATAATATATCTTTTACGACTTAAGAATTAGGCTTATTTGGCTTTTAGTTACAATAATATGAAAACAAGGGTGATACGGTGTACAAGGATATGAATTAATAAGAATTTTTTTTAAAGTAAAGTTATTCCTGTCGGAGGCGTCAGAACCACATTGCATATGTGTACCTTTTACAAATTAATCTCAAAGAAAATTCTAAGGGCTGTGTCAAGGAACCACTAGCATGGTGAATAAGCCAGATGCTAAAATTGTTATTTATTAATTAAAATTAGATTAATATATTTTAGGATTTTATTTTGGATTAATTTGAAGGAAAAAAGTATTGTAAAGTCATTAAACTGCTCATCCTTGCACCCAATAAGAAGTTGGATTTAAGCCCTTCTGACTTGGGGCATCAGAGGCCACAATCGTTTAGACATTGACGAGGCGCTCATCATCGTAAGGTAAATGTTTCTGGTTCATTTCCAGTGGGCACACATTCAAACTTGACATACTTTAAAATGGGCTTTTTTTTTTCAAAAACTTTGACCCTCTGAGGATTCAAATAACTTAAAGTTGAATTACCCTCATACGAAAAATAAAAACTTTCTGAATAAGTAAGGTTTTTAGTTGAAATAAAAAGTCAATGGCACGAGCAGGATTCGAACCCACGACCTTCAGCTAGATACCCCGCTACTCTACCACTTAAGCTATCATCACCTCGATCCACTCGGACACTAACTTCCCATCTCAACCCCACCTTTTGAATTTTCCCTCCTTTTTGCCATTTTTCAATTCAAAAGGTGGGGTTGAGATGGGAAGTTAGTGTCCGAGTGGATCGAGGTCACGATAGCTCAAGTGGTAGAGCAGCGGCGTATCTAGCCAAAGGTCGTGGGTTCGAATCCCGCTCGTGCCATTGACTTGTTTATTTCAACTAAAAACCTTAATTAATTGTAATATATTAATTGGTCAAGTGGACCACAAAATTAGTGAATTTCTGAATAAGAGGAAGTTCTGTACTTTTCTTAAATAAATAAAAATAAATAATATAATATTTATTAAAAATAATTATCACAAAGGAATATATCACAATTTTAAAAAGATTTTCTTCTTGTAAAGCACATAAGAGATCAAAACCCAAAGAAGCGTACCCCATACTGCTTCCAGCATGACGATTAAGTGGTTGTTCATCGGTCCGAACCTCCAATGCCAGGGGAATAAATCATAAGCGACTTCATGACCGATGTACAGTAATATTGAATTCATACCTAGTGAATAAAATGAAAAAAAAAACATTAATGCATTCTTATTGATTCAGTTCAATATTCACCTGGATAAATAAAAGGAGAGCCGGTCCAGCAACGCAAGTGATCGATCAAATAGTAAAACAGGCTGAACAATAAAAAAGCAAGACCAGAAGTCAAAAAAACAAAAGAGAGAGACCTAAAAACATTTTTTTTTGCAAATTCTTGTTTTATTTGTTAAAAATGAAACAATAAAGGTTAAAATAAATTGAAAATTGAAAGATTTATACCATAGATTTTTATTTATAGGAATCCAACCGCCTTCTATTCTTCCTTGGCACAAAACAACGCCGAAAATAAAAACAACAACTCCCCAAATGAGCCACCTTTTAATTCTCTTAAACCCATCAGAAAATGTAAGTATAATCACACCCGCCTGAACTCCAAGAAAGACTTGAAATATTGTCAATAAGCAACCTGAAATATAAATTTTAGAAACAGTTTTTATTTTGTCGTTACTGATCATTCTGGTCTGCCTAACCTCTCTACTGGGTTGGTATGACAGATGCCTTTCAGCTTTTTGCCATCTTCAGTTTGAATCTGGGGATTTTTAAAAGATAGAGTGAAAAATAAATCACCCAGATCTGAAGACAGCGAAATGTTGAAACGCAAAACAACCGCAGCAAGGATAGACTAGTCAAAATGATCAATAAGGACCAAGTTGTTCTTCATTAATTCATCATAACAATTCATCAGAAAATCTTCATTAATAATCTTTCTAAATCAAATAATTTTGCAGTCATACCGAAAGGTCCTTCAGGTTCAAAAGGGCCAGAGTGATAAATCTGGTTTGCAGTGGGATTTTGGAAAAGGTGTTCTTTACGCAAAACCAACTTATCAAAATATCCAGAAAATCCACCTATGCAGTGTTCATACATTTTGTCTTGATGAAGTCCTCCAGGTCCTAAATAACCCCTAAGACACACATACAATTAATTTATTTAAAAAAATCACGCAAACGGTGAAACATACGTGGGGCAGTTAGGCACAGGGTAAAAAAACACGAGATAAGTCTGCCCAGCGACGAGTAGCACCATGAGAACCCAGATAATTGACAGATTCACTACATCAGTCAAAGGGCCGCAGAAATTATACTGAAATTCATTTTTTTTTTAATTATCGACAAAAAATGATTAATTATAATAAACAAAAATACCCTTCCACTTCTTAAGTCAACCATGAGAAGTGTCACCAGCGTCGAGACGACAAAATAAGAAACTGAGAATCTTTGAAGAACTCCAAACAATCTGAAAGTTTCAAGTTGGGCTACTTTTCCAATTGAATTTAACATCAGACCCAAAATAAAAAGAATCAAAGATCTCTGAAAAATAAATTTGTTAAATATTTATCCAATTGTTATCTTCAATCAAATCTTTATTGCAATTTTTTTTTTAATTCAATAAGTCCTCTAATCTTTGCATTATAAAAAATTCTGTATTGATAGGTTGAAAAATTCCAAATTCTCCGTGGTTGAAAACCTTTATTCAATTTAGTAAATTACATGGACGTTCGGGCTCATGGCCCATCATCAGCAACTAAACAGAGAATATGAGAGACTTTTATTTTTAAAAAATTGGGTGTGCCTTCAGATTGGAAATTATACCATGAGATTTATCTATGTTTAGTTCCTGATGATGGGCCAGGAGCTCGAAACGTCAATGTAATTTCAACCACGGAGAACTTGGAATTTTTTAACCTATCAATAGAGAAGATATGAACCGTGGAGTTGGCAATATATAAAAAAATTCTGCTCATTTCCACTTTTTGTCCTTTATATATTTTATTTTTATTTTTAAATAATAAAAATTAATCAGAATCGTTTAGAACCTGAACAATTGTTGTAAGAATTTTCCATCTTCGAACTTTTCTTTTAATCTGTGATTTTATCGAAATAGGAATGCACACTCCCATGATCCATAGAAACCTAGGCAGACATGATCATTAATTATTTGAATTAATAACAGAGTAAATAGATTATTAATATTTTTGTTTTTTGTGACTGAAAAAAAAATCATGTGATTTCTCTTAATTAATCCAACAAAAAAAATTATATAGCTAATTTCTGTCAATCCAATTGGTTATAATTTTACAAATAAAGTCAAGATAAACAATTAATAAAATATATTAGCTAAAATACCAAGGGAATAAAACGTCTGCAAGATGAAGGCCATTCCAAGTTGTATGATCAATGATTTCATACCCTCCTGACCCATCATTAACAAAAATCATTAAAACTATACACATGCTGAAATAGAAAAAGAACCATTATAAAAATTTATTTTCTGTTATGAACTGACCAGTCATTACCCTCTAAATGCATCTAGCGAAGCTAGTCTTTTACTTCTTTTTTCGCTTTGGTCATCGTTTCCTTCTTTTCTAAACCCTTTTGAAGTAGCTATGTTCCAAATAAGTGTGATTATAAAAAGTACTAAGGCTGTTACGTATAATGCTAAAATAGTACAAATAATTAGCTCAAGATAATAAATTATTCAAACCTACATCATTAGAATTTATATTTGTCATCTTGTCATTTAAATTAAATTATAAATTATATATATTTTTACCACAATGCATTTAGAAAGAAAATTGCTATTCTTTAGTTTATTGTAATTTTGGAGAAAAAAAATGTTTTTTTAAGTGTAGGACAATATTCTTTTTAATTTTCTTGTCTGTTCTGAATTTATTGAATATATTAATTTTCACTTCATTTTAAAATATTTGGACAAACTTGTAACGCTGGTGAAATTTAGTATTTTTACTAATCCATTTACTAAGCTGTTTTTTGGATGCTTTTATATAATTTTAATCGAGCAAAAATAAACAAATTAATTTTTTTAAACTGGATTTTAGTACTTACGAAGATAAAATTGAGACGTTGGGGATTTTTTCGTCGCGATCGTACAATTGGAACCGAAATTTTGAATGTCGTACACTCCAAAAGGGCCGAAATTCCTAGGCCTGACTTCGCAAACCATATCCTGAACATCTTTGTCTCCGATGAAAGGCTCTTTCCTCGTATAAAGGCGAAAAGACGTACCAAATTTTGTCGACGCTTTTAAAACTCGAGTGTCATTCACATAATCCACATAGGTAAATGGGCACTAAAATGGTAAATTTTGTGGTAACAAATGTAACCTGTTTTTTTTTTTACAAAATTAAGTCTTACTTTGTAGCACTCATCCACTAATTTGTAAAGATGTATAAACGAATCTGTTGTTATTTTGACAAAAGCTTCATCTATTCCTAAATTATTTGTATTGAAAGTCATTTCATCATTATCCATTTTTAAATTTTTAAATGTAATGTTCTAAATATCTAAAAAAATCAATTTATCAACACTACTGATTTGGTTTGTGTTAAAAGCTTGCAAAAACTTGAAACTTTGAACCAGAAAAAAATCTTTAAAAGGCAATTTTAATATAAGCTACCACACCATGAAAACACATAAAACCACTCACCGGAAAAATATATTTTGTCTGAAAATTATGTAAAAACGTATAAATAATTCAACCCAATTAGCCAGTTAAGGTGTTTGAAGTGTTCATGTTTAGTTCACTTTCTTTACTCAGCCTTTAGCCTCCAAAGATAACTTTCATATTAAGACTGGTGGGGCTGGTGTTTGTAAAATGAATGTAAAAGCTGGACAAAGAATGTTTTATGCAATCTTTTGAACTTTTTCATGGGCTCAGGATTACGAAACTGAAGTTGGCCGAATGTCACTTTGCTCTTTTGAGTGGGACCAGTCGCTCAGGTAATATTGACACATCGCTCACCCAGATTGAACAAAAAATGAAAGGAAGAATAGATTTTTTTTAAGCGAATCGACAGTTTATTGTATCACCTTAGATTAAACTAATATTTAATCCTGAATAGTTATTAAGCAATGTTTATTTATCAATTTTTGACATGACAAACTAGATAAAAGATAAGATTTTTTTTCCAGGCACTTTAATATTATTATCCTATATAATATCAGATTTAAAATTTTATTTAGCATCATTTTATATATTCAATTACACAAAGATTGATTATATTATTTTGTAAAAAAAAAAACCCTGGTTAGATTGAAATATTGATTTTGTTTATGTGTTTGTTTGTGAGTGCTATTTTTTTTTTTTCAGTTTTTATGATTTTTTTCTTGCAAAATAGGGAAACATCCCATATTCCAGAATAGTGACAAACTTCAGGGGGTGTATCTACACCCAAAATGCAGCAAAAAAATTTCTCTTGGCCCCTGTCTAATTCTCAATAATAAGAGTGATATTTTGTCTGTTGATTTTTTGTTTTGTGTTATTTTTTTCCGGTAAAGCTCAAGTTTTTATTTTTTCTTCAAAAATTGGCATATTTTCTGAATCCTTGGTTTTATACCAAATTTGAATAAGCAGCTAAAAAAAAATTAATAAACTTTCAATAAGAAAACATACCTTTTTGTAAGCGTTCCATTTTGTTTGCAAGAAAAATGATGCAATTATTTTGAAATTTTAAAATTGCCAAATTTAGAAATTTCTACCCTCCAACCTCGCGTTTTTTCCACATTATTACATAATTTGCCACAATTTAAGAGAATCTCAGTTTTATGTAAACCATTGCAATGAAGTAAAAGTCCATTGAAGTTTGTACAAATTTTGTACAATTTTATCTAAAATCAAAATTTCGGGCAAAAATATTAAAAAATTTCTAAATTCCTTCTTTTTAAAATTGCTGAATATATGCATTATTTCTTTTACAAATAAGACAGAAAAACCCTTTTTTTATATCGTTTTCTTAAAAGAGATTTAATCATTTTTTAGTGGATTTTTCAAATTTATTATAAAACCAAGGGTTCTGAAGATTGTCATTTTTTATGAAGAAACTCGAGTTTTGCCAGAAACAAATATCACCATTATTATTGAGAATTAGACAAGGATCAAAAGATTCTTTTTTGTTGCATTTTGGGGTTCAGAAACACCCCCAAATTTTGGCCTATATATGGGCAGTATTTCTGTGAGAAACGAGAGAACAAAAAACAAACAAAATGATATAAAAACTTGGTAGGATATTTTCTAAATGGAAATCAAACAGTTTTTTCTTTTTTTTAACGGCACGTACAAATTTGATATAAATCCGAGGGTTCAGAAGATATCCCAATTTTTATTGAAAAACTCGATTTTAACCGGAAAAAAACCAGAAATATCACCCGTATTATCGAAAATTAGGCAGGGATCAAGAGATACTTTTTTTTGTTACATTTTGTGTTTAGAAACACTCCCCAAAATTTGGCCCATATATATGCAGTATTTCTGTGAGAAACGAGAGAACAAAAAACATACAAAATGAAAGAAAAACCTGATAGGATATGTTTTCTTAATGAAAACCGAACTGTTTTTTTTTATTTTTTATTTTTTTTTTTAATCGGCTCGTACAAATTATAAAATCGAGGTTCAGAAGATATCCCAATTTTTATTGAAAAATTCGATTTTAACCGGAAAAAAAACCAGAAATATCACCCGAATTATCGAAAATTAGGCAGGGATCAAGAGATACTTTTTTTTGTTACATTTTGTGTTTAGAAACACTCCCCAAAGTTTGGCCCATATATTTGCAGTATTTCCGTGAGAAACGAGAGAACAAAAAACATACAAAATGAAAGAAAAACCTGATAGGATATGTTTTCTTTATGAAAACCGAACAGTTTTTTTTTAATTTTTTCTTTTTTTTTAATCGGCTCGTACAAATTATAAAACCGAGGTTCAGAAGATATCCCAATTTTTATTGAAAAACTCGATTTTAACCGGAAAAAAACCAGAAATATCACCCATACTATTGAAAATTGGACAGGGGTCAAGAGAAACTTTTTTGTTGCAGGCTGAGTGTCGAAAAGACTCTTGAATTTTGACACTATAAATTTGTATTTTGTTTTGTTTTTTTAATAACAAAATGGAACAAAAACGTGGTAGAATATGTTTTCTTAGGAAATCGAACATTTTTATTTCAATGGCGCGGACCAATTTGTTATAAAACCGAGAGTTCAGAAGATATATAACTTTTTATGGAAAAACTTTATTTTAACAGGAAAAAAACACAAAACCAAAAATCCCGTATTACTGAGAATTAGACAGGGGTCAAGAGAATCTTTTTTGTGCATGTTGAGTGTCAAAAAATCCCCTGAAGTTTTTTTTGCATTTTTTTGTGACTAACAAAATGGAACAAAAACGTGGTAGTATATGTTTTCTTAGTGGGAATTGAGCAAATTTTTAACGGCGCGTTTAAATTTGTTATAAAATCGAGGGTTCAGAAGATATCCCACTTTTTATGAAAAAACTCTATTTTAACAGGAAAAAAAACACAAAACTAGAAAACCCGTAATATTGAGATTTAGACATCGGTCAAGAATAAACTTTTTTGTTGCATGTTGAATGTCGAAAAAACCGTGAAGATTGACACTACAAATTTCTATTTTTTTGTCACAAAAAACTTGAACAAAATCGTGGTAGAATATGTTTTCTTAGTGGAAATCGAACATTGTTTTTTTAATGGAGCATAGAAATTTGTTATAAAACCGAGGGTTCAGAAGATATCCCACTTTTTATGGAAAAACTCTATTTTAACAGGAAAAAAACAAAAAACTAGAAAACCCGTAATATTGAGATTTAGACCTGGGTCAAGACAAACTTTTTTGTTGCATGTTGAGTGGCGGAAAAAAAAACCCTGAAGATTGACCCTACAAATTTGTATTTTTTGTGACAAACAACTTGAACAAAAAAGTGGTAGAATATGTTTTTTTAGTGGAAATCGAAGGTTGTTTAGTTTTATTTATTTTTTACAAATTTGTTATAAAACCTAACGTCCAGAAAATGTCCCAGTTTTTATTGAAAAACTCGATTTTAACCGGAAAAACCACACAAAACCTATATCACTCTTATTATTGAGAATTAAGGGGTCAAGAGAAACTTTTCTGTTGCATTTTGGGTGACGAAACCCCACCTGAGTTTGACAGTATATATTTTTTTTGTGACTAACAAGATCGAACGAAAATCTGGTAGCATATGTGTTAGTAATGAAAATCGAAGTTTTTTTTTAATGGCACAAAGAAATTTGTTATAAAACCGAGGGTTCAGAAGACATCCTACTTTTTATAGAAAAACTATTTTAACAGGAAAAATAAAACACAAAACTAGAAAACCCGTAATATTGAGATTTAGACATGGGTCAAGACAAACTTTTTTGTTGCATGTTGAGTGGCGAAAAAAAAACCCTGAAGATTGACCCTACAAATTTGTATTTTTTGTGACAAACAACTTGAACAAAAAAGTGGTAGAATATGTTTTTTTAGTGGATATCGAACAGTTTTTTTTTTAACGGAGCATACAAATTCGTTGTAAAACCGAGGGTTCAGAAGATATCCTACTTTTTAGGGAAAAACTCTATTTTAACAGGAAAAAAAACACAAAACTAGAAAACCCGTGATATTGAGATTTAGACCTGGGTCAAGACAAACTTTTTTGTTGCATGTTGAGTGGCAAAAAAAACCCTGAAGATTGACCCTAAAAATTTGTATTTTTTTGTGACAAACAACTTGAACAAAAACATGGTACAATATGTTTTCTTAGTGGAAATCGAACAGTTTTTTTTAACGGAGCCTACAAATTTGTTATAAAACCGAGGGTTCAGAAAATATCCTACTTTTTATGGAAAAATTTTATTTTAACAGGAAAAAAATCACAAAACTAGAAAACCCGTAATATTGAGATTTAGACATGGGCCAAGACAAACTTTTTTGTTGCATGTTGAGTGTCGAAAAAAAACCCTGAAGATTGACACTACAAATTTGTATTTTTTGTGACAAACAACTTGAACAAAAACATGGTAGAATATGTTTTTTTAGTGGAAATCGAACAGTTTTTTTTAACGGAGCCTACAAATTTGTTATAAAACTGAGGGTTCAGAAAATATCCTACTTTTTATGGAAAAACTCTATTTTAACAGGAAAAAAAAACACAAAACTAGAAAACCCGTAATATTGAGATTTAGACATGGGTCAAGAATAAACTTTTTTGTTGCATGTTGAGTGGCGAAAAAAAACCCCTTAAGATTGACAATACAAATTTGCATTTTTTGTGATAAACAAAATGAACAAAAACGTTGTAGGATATGATTTCTTAATGAAAATCGAATTTTTTTTAAACTGCACGTACAAATTTGTTATAAAACCGAGGGTTCAGGAGATATCCCACTTTTTATGGAAAAACTCAATTTTAACAGGAAAAAAACACAAAACTAGAAAACCCGTAATATTGAGATTTAGACCTGGGTCAAGACAAACTTTTTTGTTGCATGTTGAGTCGCGAAAAAAACCCCTGAAGAATGATACTACAATTTTGCATTTTTTTTGTGATAAACAAAATGGAAGAAAAACATGGTAGAATATGTTTTATTAGGGAAATCGAACAGTTTTTTCAAAAACTTGGTTTGAAAAAAACACACGAAATCAGAAATTCACTCCTTTTATTGAGAATTAGACAGGGGTCAAGAAAAACATTTTTGGTGCATTTTGACTGTAGAAACACTCCTGAGGTTTGAACCTTTTTCTTTAATTACCCTGATTCATACTGAACTTTGTGTTCTATTTGTCATTGTTAGCTCGAAAGGCTTTTTCTTGTAAATTGGTCTTAATTTTATTCCAAATCGCAAATAATACACCAATTCGGATAGGATTCAGAAAAGACAAGTCTCAATTTATCCACGCCTTGATTCATCATAACATCTCCAGACGTATCAGAAGCAAGATCTTAATTAAAAG